ACCAAGGGGTTATGACCGACAGGCGACATTCCTTAAAAAGAGGCGACAGACTATCTAAAAAAGAGCGACAAACGACAGCTTCTGACTGGGAAAAGGCGACAAATTGCGATTTGTGTTATATTGGGTCAGAAGGGACAGCAAAATTTATTACAATAAAACAAGTGACAAAGCAGCTACAAAATTAGTGACAAGCGACCTAGGTTACACCCTTGGTGTGCCTCAATAAAAACACTAATCCAGCTTATTGGTTTTGAAACAACCAGTCCAACAACTAGGCCTATATGGTTAAATAAATGCAATGGTTTCCATGTGTACAATCATTTAACAAAACAAACTATAATTTACATTTTTATAAATGCCAAGCAAGTTACAAAGAACTTATAATAAGTAATCTAATACTTACTTTAACAAATGTGTTAAGGCTAAAACACCCAAGACAAAGAAATATAGAGCCAATAGAAGATTTAAATACTCTTTGTTAAAAAGCTGTAAAAAAGTAAGATACAATGTTCAACATATGTTAAAACTGTATAATATGGGTAATAATTAAACTGTGTAATAGGTTAACTTATTATCCACAAACATTGTGTAGACAGTGAGAGGAAAATAACAATTAAAAACAGGTTGCAACAGGGCACATTGGGTTAAAACATCACTTAATTAAAGGGTTAAGATATCAAATTATAATAATAATGAGAATTGAAGCTATTTCGTTTCAGATATACAGTAGTAATTTACTTAGGGAAATTGATGAAAATAATTTCCCTTTCCCCCAGAATTTGGGCGTCCATTTTTCGTTCTAGGGGTGTCCCAGGACGCCCTTCTGGCTAAAAGCCTGCCAATTATCATATTGATTGCTGATACCTTATTACAAACAACTTCAATTCTTGGGTTTCATATGGTCACATGGGGTTCAAGGGTCTGTGTCAAGGGTAAAGGACGGCTCGTCACTTTTAGATCATTTATACTAGCTTTGATAATAGTCGGAGAACTCATTTACATAGGATGCATTGACAGTCATTTTGTTTCTTTGGTGTTTTAGTTGACCTCAGTTCAATGACTGGCTTGACTGCCCCTGATTGAAACCCAAGGATAGAAATCTTTTAACTAACTAAAGATAAATATGTCATATTCAATGATACCTTAAAAACAATGTAAAGTCCTAACAGGGCACAACTTGCAACAAGTGGAAACATCATGGCATCTTTATGTGTCATGCTGTCTGGTTTTTCACCATTTTCCTGCAATAGTAAAAACATTCCAACTACGTCAGAGCGGCCTAATATTAATACTGTATTACCAAAACTGCAGATTTGGGCGCCCTTCTTGCCCAAAAAGTGTCTTGTTTTTTATTTACATGATCAGGAACATATTATTACCAAGACTTAAAAGACCTGGGGCCAGTTGTTCATTTGGTTTCGAACCTTATAGAGAAAATAAAATATTTATTGATCCTGACAAGATTCCTGGAAAAATATTTTCATGTTTATAAACAATCTTTGGAGAAGACAGCTTCATGGTGTTTTCCGTCAACCTAGGATTAAGCTATCCGGCTTTCTAGCAAATGGCCCCTGGTGTAAACAAATAAGATTTTAATAAAGAATGTGATAGTGATTTTCTAATGTTACTCCAGATCGTCGATTTCAAATAATATGGCATCAGCACCTCGTGTGGGTACGAGGTTGAAGCTGGCGGACAACATTTGTGACTCATTTCATTAGTTGAAAATATGTAGCAGATGAGCAGCTGATTCCTGTAAGGTCTTCTACTTGTTATATAACCAATATTGCAGCATACAACAGCTGCTGAGCTGCTTGTCTTCAAACAAAGACCATATTTAAAACTTCATAAAAAATTTTTATATAACCTAGCACTTGACACACTTTTTACAGAGTAACCCAATTATTATACAGTACAATCCTTCAAATAAAGTATTTTCACTTTGGGAAATATAGGGAAATACTATGTATAATTAGTACACGTGTACTAAACAGTATGACATACACCTGACACTTCCCAAAATATACTAGAGTATACAGCACACAACAAAAACAAAGTCAAAATTTCACGGTATTAAACAACACACCGTTTGAAACACTCTTGAAATACAAGTCAAATCAGTGTTTAAATTTGGGTAAAAATGTAACTATAACGGCATAACGATCTTACCTTTTGCTTTCGGTAGTGCAAAACTGACCGAAACGACCCGAAAAATATTGGCAAAACAGCCATGATAATCAAGCTGGAATAAGCCACAACAAGGCCTTCTGTAGTTGCAGCTGCTCGTCCAGTCGTATTTTTTGCTGTTTCGTTCAAAGTCGCGTTTACAGTTGTGATATTTTCCATAATAAAAGTGAATTTATCCTTCAAATTAAAACGTGTTTTTCAACTCTTGTTTTGCTGTGCTTTTCTCAACAATGATTTTCAAAGATCAAATGCTGACGATGTTTTGACGACTATTTACGAACCATTGTTCTCTGAGACGATCGGCTCTTCGGTAGCCAATCAAAATCCGACAAGTAAGGCCGAAGATGAAACGATTTGAACACGAGTTTTTAATATAATGCGCCAATCTGTGACTGTTCATCGTTGGATGCAAACGACGGTATCATATTTACCACAACCTGCGAACAGGCTGTAATTCAAAAACGCAAAAACATTTGAAAACAAGTGAAATTTTGGCTTTTGCAAATCATTTTTAATTGTTGTCCTATAAAGCTCCTAACGAATAAAGACGGAATACTTTAGATTTCAAAGGAGGCGCTTGGAAAATTGAAACCGGTACAACAACAACGATTTTGGCGGTAATTTGGCAAAAATTCAAAATGGTGGACATGAGACTTGACAATCCTGAACTTGCCAAAATGAGTTTGGAAAAAAATCGTCAAACTAGCTTCGAAAATTGGCCTTTTGAAGACGAGGGACAAATCGATATTTGTACTGCCGAAAAGGTAACTTATACAGATGTACCGATCTGAGAAAAACTATATTAAAATGGCTTCTAAAATATAAATGTCGAATATAATATTTTTTAGTACATATTAATAAAAAATACGCGGCCAAAACGACACAATCTTTCCTTAATATTATTAAGTTTATCGTTCCATCACTCTTATAACGCTTTGACATGCAGAAATCGTTTTATAGGAAATACTATTAAATTATTTATAATAAAATGTCTTGAAGTTGTCATTTGTCAACAACAGTAAACAAGTCTGTGCACGGTGAATCATTAAATGTTGGCCAAATTTATTAGTAGAGATGGATGATCCATCTGACAAACTTAGGCAAAGAAAACATAGTTTGTCTGATCATTTAAATATAGCAAAATGTATAAACGTAGCAAATAAACAAATTATCGGTGAAGAAGAGCTACGTATGTCTACTCACATGACGAGAGTACCCGTTCAATGGTACCAGGAATCCCACTGAACTGTAGCATCGCCTCAAAATGTATATCCCTACCGATCCCACAAATGTCTACGACCCCCTGCTGCATATGACCCTGTGTAACACAAGACAAACTAACATTTGCAACCACAACTATATATTTTACATGTTTTGATGTTTGCATTTCTAATTTTAAACAGCTAATCCAGTTCTTGGTAACAATTGTCATAAAATGTCGGGTTTAAAATTAGAATTGTAAACATGCAAAAATATGTAAGGTGTGGAGGGGTACCAGGGACAACTACCCCCCCCCCCCCCCGAGAAAATTTAACTTACTAACTTTATGTTGTTGTTATAAACTATTAAGCCAAATGGCACTTATAAGTTATAATCTTGGGAACCAGAATGCATGATTCTGTATCGGGAAGCCATAAGCATGCATGCATGTAACTGATATGACTTTGAATTATGCATTGACATTCGGTACTTATTTCAGCATGTAGGTATAACTACTGCCCTCCTGGTGAACAATTTCTGCATACGACGCTGGTGTTACACAAAAACATATGGTATATGAGAGTTGAGTTCATTTATAACCATACTGAGTGAAGACTGACCAATGACCATGATAATCCTTGACTTTGAGGGATAGCCACAATGACTAATATGATCTATCAGATGGATGATTTATCTTGATGAAGTTCTGTATTTAAGTTGGACCAGTATTGACTCAGTCTGTTTGTTTGGTCCCTGCATGATATAAGTGCATTGAAACATGTTGCAATTCCAGAGGCTTCCTGAAAATATATTATGCAGACCAACCCTATAATCATTAATCTTGTCACTTTGTGGTCACCATGTAGTTTATGCGGGCATTGCTGGATATGCTGGTTCAAATGTAGCTCTGTTGCATTTACACCATCAGGAACACAGACCTGCCAAGTCTCACGATTTAATCGTGAGACTCACAATTTTTTATGCTTTCTCACAATCTTACAATTAAGTCCCCAAATCTCACGATTTTCGGCAAAATCTCTGCTAAAACCGCAAGTGATTCCAAACACCCGTGGAAAAAAGAAATGTGCTATTATTTCGTGAGACTTGACACTGGAAGCTACTGAAGCCATAAAGAAAAAACAGCCTATTTTTAATATAAGCTTGCATTACGGTTATATTAACAAAATATAAATGCATACTATCCTAAGATTGAATATATATTGATTATTTTCTAGTGTTGTTAAAGTTAACCCTGGTCATATTAATGTGCAAACCTGAAAATTTCCAAGTCTCACGATTTTTCAGTCAATCTCTCAACTTTTTAGATAGCAACTCACTATTTCTGCTACTCAAGGGTTGGCAGGTCTGGGAACATTTAATATTTGTTTGTTTATTTGCCACATCCCAGTGGTACATTCTTCTTTTGATCCTAGCACTCCCACCATAGATAGGCAACAAGTTCCTTTGTGATCCAATTAAATAACCCTCTTCTATTATATATTATTAGATCTGCAGCCCTGGGCCACTTAAGAATCGACCACCTAAGCACATTTTATATTGACTGGTCAAAACCTGCTAAAACATGCCTGGATGTTTTTACAGGGCTTTAAATAACGGCCGATCAATGCAGGGTTTCCAACCTGAAAAGCAGGGTTTCCAACATGAAAAAGCAGGAAAAGTCATTACTGTCGTTCACCATGATCGGGAACTTTGGGAACGTTATTCCATGCCCTGTTTTAATATATCATTTTATATAAACCAGTTTACCAGAGGTATAGCAGATGGTCATTACATGCGAAAATATTGCCTCTCAAATATTGCATTGTGTTGGGTTAAATTGGCATTGCATTGATCTGTTGTATGGGAATAAAGGCCCATAACGCTCATACAAGTGAGAGTCAGGGCTCACGATTTCCAGTAACTAGAGAGGATATAGTTGACAATTTGTGCCTGTCTTGCACATTAATTCTTGAGTGTGCATTCTGAGTTCAGGGTCAGGGGTGAAGACAGATTAGAGATTTGTGCCAAGTTGTTTATGAATACTGACCCAAATCCCTACCCTGATCAGGACAAAACAGCGAGACATGACTGAATCCATATCCCGTCTTCGTTCGGAACGAA